TGCTAGAACCTGAAGCACTCCTGGCCAAGACCTCTCCCACCCTCCAGCATGGAGTCTGCTGAGCTCCATTTGGCAGCCTGTGGTCCCAGCTTTACAGTCAGCCGTGGATGACCAAGGCCAGGACTGCTCTGCCTAATGAACCTAAATCGAGAGTGAGGTCTCCTGTGGTTCAGGCACCACCACTCAGGACCTGCTCTAGGAGTGAAAGATGGGATGAGTTCACCTTCACAACAGGTGCAGAGGAGTGGGGGACCCTGTAGCTCCCATTTGGATGGGGTAGGTGGGTGGGGTCAGGCCCTGGGGCAGAGTGGTTACAGAGTAACTCTTGTAACTCACAGCTCGTGGGTATCCTAGGTTCAACGATGGAGAAAGAAAGCTGTGCACCCTGGCCCATGGGGCTTACCCCTCTGGTCCTCAACCGGGTCCTAATGTGATAATCCCAACCAGTTGTCAGAATTCCACTGCTCTGCCATTGTCCGGAACATCACAGACCCCTGAGCAAGCAAACGTTATTAGAGAATTCACTAAATCCTGTGCGACTAACAAGCAGAGGAGGGGTAGGGGAAAGGAGAGCGACTGCTGTCTGATAGGTGACATTTGACCCCAGGCCGACTTCTCCTGGTGGAGGAACCAGCAGACACAGGGTTCCTGTTCAGAGAATCCAAAGGCTGCTGTCCCTAGAGGAAGGAAACCGGGCCTGGGGTCAGCAAGCCTGCCAGGGTTGCAGGGGAGATCGGTTTTTATCCTTCATTCAGTGGGATGGGCTTTTGTTGCCAACATGCGGTGGCCTTTGGCAGTCAGCCCCTGTCGACTTTTCAGCCCGTCCAGCCTTCCAGTAAATGGTTTGGGGGTACCTACTGTGTGCCAGCTTTTCCCTAGGGGTCGCCCAAGCGACCACACAAAGCCACAGCCTGGGGCACTTGCAGCCTCGCACGCAGCGCGCCGGGAACGCGCGGCCGCCAGGTGGCACTCTGCTCCCGCGTACGGGCCCCGCCGCGGGGGTCCCCCACTCCGGCTGCGGAGGAGGAGCGGCCGGAGGCGGGGCTCACGCCGCAGGTTGTGTGACTTTGGGTTTGACCTGCCTGGAGATGAGCTAATCCCGCTGTATAATAGACTCCGGGGAGATAGGAAAATGGCCGCGCGCTATCTGCGTCGCCATGGGGACCATCGCGCGCGGGCGGGGCGCGGGCCTGGAAAAATACAGCCTTTGTGGCGGCGCGTGTCACTCACGACCGGGTCCTCGGGCGGCGGGCTGGGCTCTGTCGCCCCAGCTGCAAGGCCTTGGCGGAGGGGCCCTAGGACCAGGACCCCTGGGCGTTCTCAAACCCCCCAAACAGCTACTCGCCCGGTGTCACTCTCCAGCACTCCCGGGACCTGGCGTACAGAGGTCTCTTCCTCATAGCCAATGTCCAGCCCAGAGTCTGCACAACACAGGCTGAAGCAAGGCCAGGAAATGGCCCTTCGCTTCGCGCGTCTCTCTGCACACCTGGTCACCCTGAATACATACTGTCGTACAGATCCGTGCCAGTTCCAAAAACCTGTGCCACTGGCACAAACACCGGCTACTGCGCCCACCGCGCAGCTTCGGAAACACACCTTGTGGAGTGCGGCCTGCACGTGCTACGCGTAACATTCATGAGTGGCTGCAAACCCCTCTGTTCCGCACCCCTAAACAGCATCCTCCAGGGCCACGTACCTGTAGGCCCTCACAATAAATTAGCTCGTGCACGCGGCTAGCACACCCACTGTATGCTTCCCCACGCGGTCACGTGCAGCACCACTCCCCGCGTGCGTCTCGGCGGCCACTTCCTGGCACTCACCACGAACACTCTCCACGCGTGTGCTCAGGTGCTCTCACACGTGCACTTTGTCTAGGCACACTTACTCGCACACTCACATCCTTGCTTGCTCAGAGTCCACTCGCTGGCATACCCACGTGTTCCTCCAAACACACCGGGCAGAGCCGGGGCGCACACCCGCCGCCCAGCGAGCCCCCCGCGGACGCTATCTGCCTGCCCATCGGCGCGCGGATCTGCGGTGGTAAATGCTGCATTCGATGGCGGGCGCATTTGTTGTGCGCGCTCTGAAAGGGCTGCGATAATCTGGAAGGCAGAGATAAGAAACACCATTTATTCCGCGGCACTTTGGAAACAATTCCCAGCCCTGTACAACCCCATTCTCGAGCAGCCTCCGGGAGCCGGGCAGATAACGATTGGCTATTCATTATCTTCGCCGGGAACAAAGATTAGCCGGCCGAGATGAAAAATTACCCCGGCCAGCGGCTCAGGCCCACTCAGACCCCCCTGCCCGTCGCCACCGCCCCGCGATCGGTGCCCCGCCCGGGGTCCGAGCTGAGCTCAGCTCAAGCCTGGCCCGGTCTCCAAAGCCCTGGCCTCCCTTTGGCTGGGCCGACTTGGTCTCTCCATCTTTGGTCTGTCCTTCTCCCCCAGCCCCGCTCTCTTTCCCCCACGTCTCTCTGGGTCTTTCTCTTGCTCTCGTGTTTCTGTAATCTCTCAATTCCCGCATTTCGATTCTGTCTCGCTGTCCTGCCTCTCTCTGGTTGATACTTTCTTCGCCTTTATTCCCACCTCTCTGATTAATTCTGCCACTTGTTGCTTATTTCGGCCTGAGTACCCCAGTCCCTGGGTCCACCCTGTTAGTGCTTCTGCCCCTTAGCGTGACCGCAATTTTTTTTTTTTTTTTAAATCTGTTCCCGGAGTCCTTGTTGCTCGTCCCTCTCTTTTTCTCTGGATCTTTCTCTCACTGGAACTCCAATTCCCTCGATCTCAAGTTCTGGGTCTCATACTGCATGACCTCAGAAGTTAGACTGAGGGGCTCTTGTCGCCCACGGAGAAGAGAGGCAGAGAAGAGAGGACTTGATTCCCCAAAGCAGTATCTAGGACCTTTTTCTAAGAATCAAGACAGACCTAAAATAAGTGAATAAATAAATTTTTAAAAAAGAGTCTCTAGGACATAGGGTCTACCAGGTCTCTAGGGGGTTGGCTCTGTGCTCCAGGTCTGGCTGACCATGCCCCTACCCAATAGGAAGGGAGCCTGGGAGCTGGTGGTCCCAGTGAGGCCACCTCATTAGAACAGTTATTCAGCATGGCCCTGGTAATAGCAGATAAGGCTTATCAGCTCATCTCCCCCTCCCACAGACAGACAGAAAGTGCCAGAGTAAATGGCACCCCTGGGCTCCACTGGCTGCCTGCCCTGCTGGTTAGGGAAGGCGCCGGTGGCCAGGGAGCCCCGAGGATACACATACTGTCTCCACGCTCCTCCCCTACCAGACATAGTGTAGCCCTGGATACAGAAACACAGGTCCAAGATGGAGTGATAGACACAGGTGCCCACCCCTCAGACAGGGCCACAAACACCAAGCCCAACACATCAGTTCCACCTGAAGCAACAGATATGCAGACATACTTGGATGTGTTTGTCCCCATCTGCCTTCAGCTCAAAGTTGGAAATCAACACCTGCCATTAAGACATACTAACCCTGAGTGGTGGGACACACCTTTAATCCCAGCACTCAGGAATCAGAGGCAGGTGGATCTCTGTGAGTTCCAGGCCAGCCACAGTGACACAATGAGACCTTGCCTTTAAACACATGTGTGCACACACGTGCACATGCATGAGCATGACACCCACACACCTGTATGGCCTCAAATACAGATACACACACCCCTCATTAATTAATAGACTTGTCAGTGAATATCCAGACACATTGCAACCCCCTCTCTTACACACACCCTCGTACACACACACACACACACACACACACACACACACACACACACCCCTAAATACAAGTTGAAAGATATACACGGATATCCAGACTATTAAAGACACATACACAAATGCATGTCTAGATACAAACTCAAATGCGCAAAGGTAACACACTGATTAAGACATACTTAGAGATACCCTCTGCTTATCACATGATTCTTGAAGATGGTGGTCTGTCTCAGAGATATCTAGATGCAGAGATGTACACCAAGTTCCACAGACACTGTCTTACATGCATTTGTGGGGCCACACTCTGATACCAGTCAAGCTGTGACCAGCTACCCAATGCAAGTGCTTACTGATAGTTCAGTTTTGCAAACATTCCTGGGAACTCCCCATCGTGAAAACATAGCCCACCGGGCACATAAACTGAATTGCATGCAGAGAGTGCATGCACAATGCAACAGATTCAGAAAGACCTGGAACAGCTGGTGGCACAGGATGGGGAAGGAGGAGCAGACCCACTCCCTGCATGGGGCACACCGGATTCATAGTCTTTCCCAACAGAGTGAGTCTGTGGGATTCTTCTAATTTCTCATAGGAGCTTAAGGTGGTACAAGGAATGGATTCTCATTGCTACCTAGCTCAGGTACCTCCTTCGGGCGCAGACTGCCACCAGACTGCCTCCTCTTAACCGTGTAAGGACAAGCCTCTTGCTCTCCTTGTGGCATTCTCTGACGCAAACGGTTTGCCAGTAATGGGCCAAAACTGGACACACCAGAAACTCCTTTCCTAAAATGCTTCTGAATTGGGAACGGGTGTCTGTGGGGAAGGAAGTGGAAATAAATACATCTGCACTTAGCCAAACGTGCAGGAAGTGAGGGAGCTGTGTCGATGAGTGTGCGTGCACCTTATACCTGTGTGTGCACACGCGTGTTTGTGTGCCGGAGAGCTCCTGTCTGGGGACATCTACACAGCGACAGCACGTGCACAATGTGTGTATGGAAGGAGGGGCAGGTGTCTGTGTACTTGCTTGTGAGGGAGAGTCTGCAAAGAGAGACATCCCAGGCTTTCTGAGATTACATCCCTGAGAGCAGAAGTGCTTGCGTGGCCCTAAGAAGGCGGGAGTGGCCTGCAGGGTGTGCGCGCCTCGACTGACTAGTGGCCCGAGCCTGGCCAGCCCGGCGGCTGGACCCGGCAGACAGGGCGCAGAGCCCGGGCACCCTCCTGCCCCCCTGTGGCGCTCCCCCCCCCCCAGTGATGTCGAAATAAAAAGCTGCCGCGCTGCGGCCGGGAACCGAGAGGCAGCCAGAACCGAGAGAGGTGGCCAGGCCAGGCGGGCGGTAGCTCACTGCTCAGGTCTCTCTGGCCTGCGATCACCTCAACCATAGCCGGTCTTGGGGCCCATTGGGCGGACAAAAGCCGCGGCCTGTGCACCGAGCTTTCGTTCGGCGCCGCGCCGGTGTCCCGCTGGTGACCGCCGCTGTCGCGCTGGCTCCCGCGGGCCGACTATCCACGCCGCACACTCCGTTCCCTCCCTGCTGAGCCCTGGCCGTGGCCGCCCGAGGGCGCCGCCCACCGCGCCGCTGTCGGTAAGTTCCTGCACTCCGCCGCCCGCGCTGTCCCGAGCCTCGGGATCCTAGGCTCGGCCTTCCCAACACCCGGATCGCACGGTCCTGCTAGTGGCTTAAACCCAGGTCATCCGGAAACCCAAAGACCTCCCTGGGGGCTCCTGCCTTCCGTTTTTTTCCGGAGCCTTGGACCTGGAGACCCGGCTTTCCAGAGCTTTGCGACGCGCCCCCCTCCCACCCCAGAGCTGGAGCCTTTGTCTTGGCGGTTCCCCACCCCCGGGTCGCGCCGGCCGATGCGCCCAAGCCGGGCCGCCGGGCGCTGGCTGCACCTGCCGGCTGGTCCCGTGCACCGGCTTTGCGCGGCTTAACCCGGCTCGCTCCTGCTTGTGCCCCCGTTCGAAGCGCCCCGCGGCCCTTTATCCTGTGTGGCGAGGGTGCAGGTGGGGGAGAGCGCAGGGTATGTAAGTCTTCCCCTGCCCAAGTCGGAGCCAGAATCCTTTCAGTGGGATTTCAATAAGAACGAGGCGGACGCAGGCTCGGGGATCCGCTGTGGAGAGGCGTAGACAGAGCTCTGGGCCTGTCTGGACACCCGGCATTGAACCGTTCGGTAGCGGCTGGGCCTGAACTCCAGCTTACCCCAGCAGTGAGGGGAAAGGTCTTGTATTCAGAAGGGCCTCCCGTGTGGCGTCTGCTCCTTTATCAGAAAACAAGGAAAGAAATTCGTTTGTTTTGGGGGAAAAAAAACTTGCCTCCCAAGGTCGGGAACATCTGGGGGTGAGTTCTGGGTCTACACTGAGGCCCAAGTTGGGATTCGTTTATAAGCAGGCAGCATCCAGGAACCAGGTAGAGCCGAAGCGTCTGCCAGGCGTCTGGAGAGCGTTTCCCAGCCGGGTTGACAAATTGCAAGCAAATTGCATCTAACGAAATGCATTTAGCAGTTGTCAAGCCGCTGACCCACAGGCCTCTGAGCAAAGCATAGCTGTTGGCGAAGAGAAGGCCCCCGATTGTCTGCGGGTGGGGTATGGAGGATAGAAATAGACCAGAAATGGCAGAGTCCAAGGCACCTGGCACCAGCGGGCCAGAACCTAACACACTGGGTCACAGCGTCTGTATTTCCAAAAGACTAAGACAGTAGGTAGATGCTAGGGAAGCGGAATCTTTTGATTTGAGGAGCTGGAAGCGAACCCCAGAGAGCGAGAGATACTGTTGGAGCCCTTCTAAATTGATGGATGCTGCCTGGGACATATCTGAGTCCTCTACATAGAGGGGACACTGAGCCATAGTGACCAAAGCTCCCCCACTTCCTTCCCAGTGTTCCTCAAAGCTTGTGGCTAAGGCAGGGCTGGAGGCCTCTGGGTTGTGAAGGACTTCGGTTTGGAAGGTAGTCCTAAGCTAGTCGACCAGTTAGCTGGCTTAGGAGAGAATTAGGTTGCGAGGAGAGGGCAAACTTGTGTTCCCAGAGGTAAGGCTTGGATGAGGATGTTTAAACAAAGGGCAAGTGAGGAGGGCAGCGCCAACTGGGAGCCCTATATGACTCCATCTCCTTTCAGACTGATTTTGCAGGATCCGGGCCACACCCAGAAAAGGGCCTGGGTCCACAGAACCCAGCTTCCATTCAGGAGTAGCTCCCCCCCACCCCCCACCCCCCCGCCACTGTCCCTCTCTACAGAAGGTTCCAGGTCACGCAAAAAAAAAAAAAAAAAAAAATGGTGGTTAGAAAATTCAGTTTGGGAGCCAAGCTCCCTCTATCCTCCTAGAAATCTTGTTTCCGCGGAAGGAAAAGGACAGTTTAGTTCAGAGAAGAGTAGCCTCAGGTACGCTCCAAAATCAACAATAACTACAAAAAAAAGAAAAGTGTCCACCTGAAGGTGTCCTGGGACCTCTTAGTAGGGGGCTGTAAATTGGAATAAATCTGCTTTCGTTTTGGGGGTCGGCGGGCGGGGGCTGGGGGAAGCCGAATCTAAGCCATCCTGGGATCCGTCTCGGCCCTCCCTGGTGTTTGTTTGGGCTTCATTAGCGGCTCATTTTCGGCCTAGTAGTGGGTTCTTGGCTGTGGATCGATCTGGTTCACACACGTTCATCAGCTCAGGCTCCCCTTTATTCGCCAATTCAGTGTCCTGCTACCTAGCCGGCAATTTTCCCTTTCAGACGGGTTTGTTCCTGCTGGAAAATTCGAGCAGTCCCGCATCGGACGCAGGGGCTCCAACCTCGGCAGGGGCTCTGGCCAGCCGGCTGGTTGCTTGCGTTTCCAGAAGGCAGCCTGGGGGCCTCAAAAGACCTGGCAGGACACCCCCCCACCCCGCCCGGACCCCATGCCCATGGGCAAGCAGGCTGTGGCGGGTCTCCTGAGGCCCTGGCTCAAGCGTCGCTTAACCGCCTGGCTAAACCCTTGTTGCGTGGCGATTTTCTGAGCTGCCGAGCGGAGTAATTAAATCCCCTTCTGCACTCGGCTCTGCGCGAGGCGGGTGGGCAACACTGGGGCTCGCGTTTAGATTGGGGACCCGCCGGGCTGACCACTTTCACCTCTGCGAGAGGCAGGACTTGCCCAGTCGGCGACGTGGCGTGGAAACCGCAACCCCCATCTCGTTCAAACGGGGAGATAATGTTAATTGCGACTTTGAGAGAAAAGAGGGGAATTACCTGCTTTCGGGGGATGGTGCTGGGAGGCCCCCCCCGCCCTGCCGCCCTGCCAGCCGAGGCGCCTACACGGCCAAGGGCAGCTTCCTCTGCGCTCCGCGCTCTCCTCCTGGAAGTCTGCAGAGCAGAGGCCTGGGATACGGCCGCATGGGGCACCGTTGCCGAGAGTAGGGTTATCGCCGGGGCTGCGAGGCCTTTAGACGCTCCTGCTAGGTTCCAGGGACATCGAACACTCTGGAAACTCCGCGGCGATCTCGCTTTGCACTTTAATGAAGAATCGTGGTCGAAAGGCGGGGTGAAGCCGAGAAAGCCATCCCGAGAAGGAGCGGGTCCTAAGCTGGCCGCGCAGTGGGAGCGCTAGCTTGGCGGCACAGAGACCACCCACCTGCCCAGCCCGCCCCGAGGCACTGCGGCCTTGCGCCCCTGCAGACCCTCGAGCCCTCTCGCACGACCTCCTGCCTAGGCTGGGAGCGGACTCCGGAGCCGCCTGGGCCCCTGCTGGCTCTGGTGCGCTGAAGCGCAGGGAGCACGGAGGACAGGAGGGACCCCCCAAGGCGCGAGAGGTGCGGGGGTTTCCGGCCCAGTGCAGTTCTGCACCGCGGGTCCCGGGCCTGTACCTGTTCCAAAGCCTCGGACAGTCAGATCGACGCCAGCCGCAGAGGCCGGAGGAGGCCCTGCCGTGCGCGCGCCCCCTCAGAGCTGTCCGCAGAGGACCTGGGAGGGGGTGATGGGGGCGCGCCCGCAGAGCCGAGCCGGGCTGGGCGCCCCCCGAGCCGAGGGGACCGAGGGCTTTCCTCCCTCCTTGGATTATTAAAAAGTTCATTTCCTGGCGAATCGGGTGACGTCAGGGGCCCGGCGTCGCGGTGGCGGGGCCGCCGGGCCGGAGAAGCCGCCTCCAGTTACCCAATTACGGACTGTCAATCCTGCTGCCCCTCCCCCATCCTTGGGGGTGGCGGGGACCCCAGCCCTCCCCCGGCTCGGGACCCACCTGGGACCCCTCTGGGATTATCTCCTGGGGGTCTAGTGCCCTGCCAAGATAGAGGGGCTCGATGGAGGGCGTCGAGCTCGGCCAATCCTCGCACCTGTCTAGATTCCCCCAAAGGTCTGACTAGCAAGCCTCTTTCTGAGCTTCGGTCTCAGGTCTATACCCAGGGAGGGAGCTAGGTTTGTACACCCGCCTTCGAGCTCACGGCCTCCCCAGAAAGGAGGTGTTGCCAGAAAAACTCCAGGTGACTTTAGGTACAAAGTGCTCAAAACATTGCTTCCCTCTCCCCGAAGGCCGTCTCGGGGACCCCTAGGAGGAAAAAATATACATATGGCTAATGCCCCGGGAGTCTCCCCTCCAGCCGACGCTGGCGCCAGTCCCCCAGCTCAACGGCTTCGCCCCAGGCAGTTCGGCCTGGTGGTCTGCTAAGGCCACGCCCGGAACCCTTCCCTTTCCCTGGGCCACTGGCCGGACCGCGACCTTCGGTTCAGCACAGTCTTAAAAGTGTCCTAGTGCCCAAAGCCCGGGTGCCCTAGAGGGGTCCACAGTCCTAGACTCGTGCTATCCAGCCGATCCTACCAGCCCCTTGCACAAGGAGGCAGAGGTCTGGGGGAGTCCGCAGGACTCAGGCTGGCTGTGGTCCGTAGCGAAGGAGCTGGGGCTCCGCCGGAGAGAGTGGACGGCTGGGGTCCTAGCAGAGAAAAACCCAGAAGATGCAAGTCTCGGCTTCTGGGAAGTCAGGAACCCGATTGGTGGCTAGTTGCTGGGAGGGCAGAGGTTGGAGGACCCGAGCGTCTGACGGAGGGGTGCAGGGTTGTGCCCGCAGCGAGGGTCCCCTGGGGGGGCGTTGGCATCAGAGGCCGCCCGGAGGGCGCTGGGAGGGGGCCGGGAGGCCGAGGGGGGCCGGCTCGCGGGTCAGTCCCCAAGTCCAGCGGCCGAAGCTGCGGGCGCAGCCAATGGGGGGGCGGAGGCTGGGCGGCGCGCGGCGCTGATTGGCTGGCGCCAGCTTCTTAGGCGTGCGCGGCCCCCGCTTCATGTCTGTGCAGGAGTCGGCAGCTGGCGCCAGGGCGGCCGGAGGATGCCGAGGGGCCGGAGCCGGGCGGGCCGGAGGCCGAGGCGCGCGCTGTCCCCCGCCCCTATCCCGTGAACCCGCCAGTCTCTGGACGCGCTGTCGCGGGACCCGCCGTTCTAGGGGCTCTCCTGGTGTCCCTTACTCTCTACTGCTGAGCCCTCCCCTTCCCGCGCCGCTGCGAGTGTAAGTTTGAGGAGCAGGGGGCTTGTGGGCACTCCTAGATTGGAAGGGTCTCGGTGGAGCTCAGGCCAGGATCTCCTGTGGGCGATTACGTTCTTATGCCTTGGGAGAGGTCCGGCTGACTGCTGGAGAGGGCATTGGGGACCGGCTCTCAGCTCCAGGAACTGCGTGTGCGTGTTCGTGTTTGGGGTCGGGGGTGTCGAGGTTAGTTTGTGTATACATTGCCAATGTAAGTGAAAGGCGGGGGGTCGGGGGGCTGTGTGCCTCCGAGTGGATGTCTAGGCTCCTATCTCTAACTTTTAGTCGGAGTTCGTGTGTTTTTGTGCCCAGAGGACAGGGGCTAGGTGTGAGAACCTGATTTCAGTTCCGCGTGCGTTTGTTTGGGGTCGCCGGTGTCAGGGTCCATCCCTGTGTGTGACCTCGTGTGCATGGGTGTGTGGCTGTGGGAACGCTGGTTTCCCTGCGAGTGTGTGAGGCAGAACCCCTTCCTCCACCTTCCTTTCGTTTTGAACCTTGTGCTTCCCTCCCACCCGGGGCCCGGTCCTCAGTGGAGCTCCACAGGAACGCCTTTGCTCTCAAGACACCGACTTTGGGAGAGGGGGGGTGTCAGAGGCTGGCAGTGCCCCTCACATCTCCTATGTCACTCAGGGCCGCCCCGCCTTCGCCTGGATCCCAAGCCGCAGTAGCGGACCATGGAGGTGGCGCCGGAGCAGCCTCGCTGGATGGCGCACCCAGCCGTATTAAATGCGCAGCACCCCGACTCGCACCACCCGGGCCTGGCGCACAACTACATGGAGCCAGCGCAGCTGCTGCCTCCCGACGAGGTGGATGTCTTCTTCAACCATCTCGACTCGCAGGGCAACCCCTACTACGCCAACCCGGCCCACGCGCGCGCGCGCGTTTCCTACAGTCCAGCGCACGGTGAGCTTTGGTCCTCCGGGTTTCTGGACGCCCGGCGTCCACACCAGGCCTTGGAGGGGAGGACGGCCCGCTGCTGCTTCCCGGATGTGGGATCTACAGGAATCTGAGCAGCTGCGAAATCGGGCTGGGGAAGGTGGAGGCAATGACCTCTCGGGGAGGGTCTGGGACCTGTAGGGTTTCTGTCCGTTTCCAACTGTCTTGGGGGAATCCTTCTGGGCCCTGTCCGGTGGGGTTGCTCTGTGTCACTTGTTCTTCGACCTTTCACTGATATTGCTGATGATTACAGGCCGGAGTGTTAGGTTTCTGGTGTTTTAAAGGGTGGGGCTGCTAATTGTTGTTCCCTGAGTTGTGATCCTGTGTGCCTGTGTCATGGCTCTGAGACCCCTGCCCACACTAACCCCTTCTCCCTCTGCTGCAGCCCGTCTCACTGGAGGCCAGATGTGCCGACCACACTTGTTGCACAGCCCAGGCTTGCCATGGCTGGACGGGGGCAAAGCTGCTCTCTCTGCCGCCGCTGCCCATCACCACAGCCCCTGGACCGTCAGCCCGTTTTCCAAGACCCCGCTGCACCCCTCAGCTGCTGGAGCACCCGGAGGGCCTCTGTCTGTGTACCCAGGGGCTGCGGGTGGGAGCGGGGGAGGCAGTGGGAGCTCAGTGGCCTCCCTCACCCCCACCGCAGCCCACTCTGGCTCTCATCTCTTCGGCTTCCCACCCACACCACCTAAAGAAGTTTCTCCAGACCCCAGCACCACGGGAGCCGCTTCCCCAGCCTCATCTTCTGCAGGGGGTAGTGTAGCCCGGGGTGAGGACAAGGATGGTGTCAAGTACCAAGTGTCACTGTCTGAGAGCATGAAGATGGAAGGTGGCAGTCCCCTGCGCCCAGGCCTAGCTACCATGGGCACTCAGCCTGCAACACACCACCCAATACCCACCTATCCCTCCTATGTGCCTGCCTCAGCTCATGACTATGGCAGCGGCCTCTTCCATCCTGGAGGCTTCCTGGGTGGCCCAGCCTCCAGCTTCACCCCTAAGCAGCGAAGCAAGGCACGCTCCTGCTCAGGTAAAGGCAGGTGTGGGACTTCAGGGCCTGTGGGTGGGGTGTGCCTCTGTCAAAGGGGTTGTGATCTGAAGAGGGGCCACATTAGTGCTCCTGATCCAAGCATGGGTCCTCTCTGAGAGTCCACAGGTGTTTGTAGCTCCCCGTGGGGAGGACGGAAACCCTAGAACTTTCATCCTGCCCTTGAGTGCTCCTAGTACCCCAGTGTTCAGTTCCTTTCCTCACCCCTCACCATGCCCTCCTCTCCAAGATTGGTGAGCAGCAGCCCACACTCAGAATAAGATTCCCCGTCCCCTCCCCAAACGATCAGCTGAAACCAGCAGCCTCATGACTGGGTGTGGGGGAGAATGCAGGCTGTAGGTGAGGGAAGGAGTCAGCGTGGCCATGTGTGTACGTGTGTCTGGGAGCGTGTGCACATGCTGCGGGCCCTGCAGAGACGCAGGCCCTGAAGGAATCCGGTTCTCCAACTGCTAGTCTAGTTTCAGGATTGCGGTGACTCCAGATCTCCTCGGAGATTTCCCCAAAGCAAAATTCCCAAGGCCTCTTTGTATCCTAGTGACCCTGATCCTTCTCCCTGAGGGTAGGAGTGAGAACCTCTGCGGGTGCCTGCACCCCTTTGCCAGCCCTAGCTGGATCCAGCTGGGTTTGTCCAGCAATGTGGCCCTCAGGCAATAACCCATGGCTCTGGGCTCCTCCCGTAGCGTTTAGCTAGGGAGGGGGAAGGTTTTCTTGAAAGTTTATCCTTGAGTTCAGAAACCACCGTCTCTTGCTTGAGTTCCTAGGTTCTTAGTTTCAACTGAACCAGGAGGACCGTCCCAGGTGCCAGTTACTCAGCACCCCACTGAACTCCACTCAGTGTCTTTAACTTTTCTGTAGCCCTTTCTTCCGAGTTTGTTTTGTGTTTTATTTGAATTCCAGATGACCAAAAACAACAACAAAAAATAAGGCCACCTAACCTAAAGTGAAAGAACTTCTTATTATTTCATTTTTTTAAAAACACCACCTTTGATCGCTGAATTCTAGGGGTTTGGCTGAAGAAGGAGAAAAGCTAGGGGAAGAGAAGTTTCCTTCCTGACCCTGGACCAAACATAAAGGCAGCAAGGGGCTGCTAGCAGACATGGGGAACAGACTTGGAGATGCTGGCACAGTTGGGAGGCAAAAGTGAGAGGAAGTGGGAGGGAAGAGGAGGGAGAGGCTCCCCAGACCCAGGTCAGGCTGGCAACTGTGGCCGTAGCCTGTGCTCCACAAAGCTGATCTTCAGTTCCTTTTCCGGGTAGCTTGCTCCTGGCTCTGGGAATCCTGGTAGCCTGTACTTAAGGCTTCTCTTTGTTTTTCTTCAGGAGCATCTAAAACGGGGATTTGTCCTTAAAAGACTCAGGACCTCTTCTATGGGGGACCCCTTGAATCCCTCTGTCTGCAGGGGTGGGACTAAAAGTCCCCCTTGATATAACAGTGCGTGTCAGACTTGATCCTCTAGCCACTAAGCAGGCCTTGTGTCTCTCCTTGTTCCCCGCAGAAGGCCGGGAGTGCGTCAACTGTGGGGCCACAGCCACCCCTCTCTGGCGACGGGATGGCACTGGCCACTACCTGTGCAACGCGTGCGGCCTCTACCACAAGATGAACGGACAGAACCGGCCCCTCATCAAGCCCAAGCGGAGGCTGGTAGGAACGGGCACGGTGTGGTGCGGGGGCAGGGCAGGCCCACGGTGGCCACCAGCCTGAGTGGAGCTGGTGGTTAGTTAAGGGAAGGGAAAAAATAAACAACAACAAAAAAACGAAAACAACCCAACAACAAAACTTCAAATGCAGAGACTTCACCACCTGAAAATCTCTTATCATTAAAATCATTTGGGGGGTCAGTCAGGTCGGTCTTCATTCTGGTGGATTCTTTCCTGCCAAATTTCCTGTCCTGCAGCCACCGGGCACCCCTCCCTCACCCCCCACTACTGAAGGATTCCCAGAACCCAGGGTCCAGCAGCCCACCCTCACGTTCTGGCCTTCGATTCCCTCTTTTTAAAAATAGGGTCATGAAGTACTTTTCCCTGTGGCAGCTCTGGCCTCCCCCGCTCACCCCCCAGCTCACAGTCTCCTTCGCTTATTTAAATAACACACAGCAGCCACCAAAAAAACCTGCCCTTTATTATTTTTCCATGGAGTCACCTATACTGTGTATTTTCATTTGAGTGATTTTTAAAAAAATGTCCTTTCGGATCTCCTGCCGGAGTTTCCTATCCGGACATCTGCAGCCGGTAGATAAGGAAACTTCGTGTATCTGTTTCCGGACCGGCAAGTTTTCAGAGCCACCTCGACTCAGTCCTGCCTCTCGCTGGGCTGTTTTGAAATTTCTAATACCCTCCACTCTGCAAATAATGTGTAAAATGCTAAGAATAATAAATATATTTTTTTTTTCAGGGCGAAGTGATTTATGAGCTTAAATCGTTCACCCACTTTGGGGCCCTTTTTTCTTTTTTTCCCCCTGGAGCAGGGTGAGGGCGGGTGCGGGCGAGTGGGGGTGGGAGGAGGGATATACTGCTGGCCCCTGAGTCAGAATTCCAGCTTCAGGCTGCTTACTCACCCTCCCTGCCCCCGCGGCGGCGGCCAGCTCTGGTCCCCTCCATGAGCAGGCTCAGGCCCCGGGCCACTCTGGACTCTGCTGGACTCGGCCGCGCCCCACACTGCCTGCCCAGTGGAGTGCAGTGCTAGCATTTCTGGGGGATGAGGGGGCTGGACACTACCACCACTCCATTTACCTGGGGCAGGAGGGATGGCGGAAGGGTGATCTGTATTCTAGGAAAAGGCTTTTCTCGCTGGACCTTGAGTTCCTTGTTCTAGAGATCAGACCTCCTCTCTTCCACTCCCCGCCTCTGACTGGCATTTCCTGGGGGGCTGGGACTAGGGTCTGGTAAAGGCGGCAGGTGAGAACTCTCTGGGTGCAGGGATCTAGGCCAGCAGAGAATGAGAAGGTCTTTGCTCCTCGGTCCTGAATGGAAACCTCTGGCTAGTATGACTATTGATCGCTAGGAATGTGGTTAGTGCAGTCAAAGGAACTGAATGTTTAGTTTTTAAACTGTAGTTAAATTTAATTTAAATTTCTCTTGGTGGCTTGCAGATCTTGTATAGGACAAGGCAACTCCACACTTTAATCCTGGGCTCAAACTTCCCCAGGCCTTTCTGGGTTCTCCTGGGCAATGCAGGGTCTTGCTGCCCAGGCCTCCCAGCCATGACTCACCAGGATTCTGGATTTCCAGGGGAACGGTGGGGGAGGAGACGTGCAGCTGAAGACAGCCACTCAGGATGGCCACAGGGCTAAACTGTCCTTAGACCTCAGTTTCCTTACCTAAGAAATTAGACTGCTAGGCAGTTGGGGGAAGTGGCTGCTTTTCCCTTCTGTGTTTACAATCATTTGGACTCTAAGAGCTCTTTATTCCAAAGTTCTGTGATTCCCAACTAGTTTACTTCTCAAATTCTAAAATTCCTTCGTCGGAGATGCCTTGATTCCCCTGTGGGACCCACTGCTCCTGGGCTAAGTGGTGAGACTGGGGGTGGTGCTAAGGGCCCTGGAGGAGGTCAAGGTGGGGCGTGGGAGAGGGCCCTCTGACGCTACCCCTCCCCTCCTAGTCTGCTGCCAGAAGAGCGGGCACCTGTTGTGCAAATTGTCAGACGACAACCACCACCTTATGGCGCCGGAACGCCAACGGGGACCCTGTGTGCAACGCCTGTGGCCTCTACTACAAGCTGCACAATGTGAGTGCACCCCACCCCTCCCCGGGGACCTCCGCTCTTTGTGCAGCCCGGCCAGCCAGCGGCCCCAGCCACGGTCTCCAGCTTGGCTTGGCTTGGGAAGCCGCAGCCGGCAGCCTGCTTGGCCAGCCCAAGAGTGCCAGAAGGGCTCCTTGTAAGAAGGATGCTTCTGCTTTGGAGGTGGGACCAGTGGGGGCAGGGCCAGCAGGGAAAAGTCAGGGGCAGGGGAGGATGAGAGGTGTCTAGGAGGAGGCAAGCCGTGCAGGCATTTAGTGGACTGAAAACAACGATGTGGGCTGTTAGGCCATGGAGTCTCCTTTCCTGAAATGGTGACCTGCAGGCTTAAGGGGACATTGGTGAGTGACGTTGGAGGCTGGGCTGAAGGCACAGTTCCTGACACCCTAGGGATATATGTGACCCGGTCTCCCTTGACCCGTGGAGAAGGGATCCTAAAGGCTCTATGGCTGCCCCCAGGTTAACAGGCCACTGACCATGAAGAAGGAAGGAATCCAGACCCGGAACCGGAAGATGTCCAGCAAGTCTAAGAAGAGCAAGAAAGGGGCTGAATGTTTTGAGGAGCTATCCAAGTGCATGCAGGAGAAGTCATCCCCATTCAGTGCGGCTGCCCTGGCTGGACACATGGCACCCGTGGGCCACCTCCCACCCTTCAGCCACTCTGGACACATCCTGCCCACGCCAACACCCATCCACCCCTCCTCCAGTCTCTCCTTCGGCCACCCCCACCCATCCAGCATGGTGACTGCCATGGGCTAGGCACAGCTTCTTCCCTCTGGACAGACATGGACATCGAGGGTGGCTGGCAGAACCAGAGTGAGGCCGGGCACTCCCAGGCTGGGTGGAACACAGTTTTGGCTCCCGCCCATCCCAAGAGACCCACTTCCTCCTGCCAGCCTAGCCTGGCCGAAGCCACCTCTCCTTGGAGGACTCCCAGCCTTGTGCCGCCATTACTGTGAATGTTTCTAACTGGGCTACAGCTTGTGTGCGCCCTGGGTGCTGCCCAGAAAAGTTTTTTCACGGACAGTTGCTTGGAGAGCAAAACAGACAGGTTTATAGCAAGAAAAGGAGGAGACTGGGGACAGAAAAATGAAACCATTTTTTGAAGGAGAAAGGAGTAGGCAAAAAAATAATAATTTATTTTGCTCTTATTTCTTACAAAGACATGGAGGCATGGACTGTTTGTGTTCTCTGGGTCCTTCCTTGGGGCCTACTGCCACCAGTCAGGGCTCTGGGGAGGCAGACTTACAGGGCCTCAGCCTGAGCCTTCTCCCCAGCTGCCTGGAGGGTAGCCCCTGCCCTGACGCAGCCCTTGAGGGCAGAGACAATCGCAGGCGGTCCTGCGCAGATTCCCAGGCCAGGGCTGGGTCACAGGAAGGAAGCATTCTCTGGAAAGGGGAAACGTCTCCCAGATCATTCCCTTGGCTTCGAGAGGCCAAAGCTGGTGTGACCCAGATGGCCAAGCTGCGGCCTGTGCCTAGGCCAGCTGGACCCCTGTAAATACATCCTTTTTCTGCTAACCCCTTCATCCCCCTCCACTCTAAGATAAATAAGAAAATATTCAAAACAAAACCCAAACTGCATAAGCTTAACTCACTGATGAGTGGTTTTATTTTTAAACTCATTTTGGGTCCAGTCAATTGTACGTTGCCACAGAAGCCCCAGTATGAAAAAGAATAAAACCTACAAACCAAGGCTGAGCTTCACAGTTCTTTCTTGAATAGTTCTTGGATCCCAGGGCCCTAGCAGGAGGCTGGGGACAAGAGGGATCTTATGCTCTTGGTTGCTGGGGGACAGGGGACGGGCAGGCAGTGGCCCCGCGATCCCCGGGGGTTCTGTTCTGTTGTGGCTGGCTGGATTCTTCAAGGTACAGCTGTACATAAAATGTGTCCCAAGCTCCGATTCTGTGTGCGGTGGTGGTGGTGCAGCGGCCAGCAAGGGGCCCCTAGCCCAGGAAGACGATTGTGCTAAGTCAACTAAGTGCAATATTGGCGTCCAGTTGCTGCAGCGCACCATAACCGGAAGTAACTTATTTTGTGCTAGTACCCGCATAAGAAAAAGAATCGGCAGTATTTTCTGTTTTTATGTTTTTGGCTTGTTTTATTTTGGTTTAGTGACCTAAGTTATTGTTAACTATGTACAACATTTAAATATTGTCTGTAAAAATTGTATGCTACCCTCCTATTCCTTTAAAGTGAATACTGTTAAAAATAATAAAATACTTTTTTGTGAATGCTGCAGCCTGTCGAGTGGGTCCCTGAGACCCCACATCCCTGATGGGGCTTGAGCTGTCAAGTGAACTTGTTTCTGCTGTCTCTTGTCTTTCAGGGAAGGTACATGGGGCGTGGACAGGGCTCTTCTCCAGCCTCCTTTTCTGAGAGCCCAGCAAGGTGCCCGTTTGGGCTTTTCAGAGAGCCAATAACTGCCCTGCACCACTCAGGTTTCCCCAGGTGTGGTCAGCTCTGGTTTCTAGGGTACCAGGTTGTCAAATCTGTTCATTGGCAAACTTGATCACCCTGTCACCGATTGCTAACCGATCACCAGTATGCTCGCTCTCATTGCATCTGGTCAGTGATGTGTCCAGTCACTGGCCTGTACACAAAGTTGTCCCTGGCAGTGATCCCAGCAATTGTCACTAATCGCATGCCTAGAATCTTTCATCAAGGTTTCCCTAGGCCAATGTGTGGATCCCAGATGCAGGCAGTCACTGGTGTCCCGGGCCACCAATGGTGTCACCTGTGAAAGGGTTGTTCAATCCCCAAGGGGGTCGAAACCCACAGGTTGAGAATCATTGTTCTAGACTGTCCATTCTGAACTTTGGGCCAGACAAGTTTGCCCTGAACCAAGAAGTGTCATTACATCTCATACCTGGAACATGATCTCCTTTGAAGTGGTTCCTATTTGTTCTCACTGATGAGGCTTCCTACACCTATAACAGTATGTGGCAAAAGGGGGCTGCTAGCCGGGCGGTGGTGGCGCACGCCTTTAATCCCAGCACTCGGGAGGCAGAGCCAGGTGGATCTCTATGAGTTCGAGGCCAGCCTGGTCTCCAAAGCGAGTACCAGGAAAGGCGCAAAGCTACACAGAGAAACCCTGTCTCGAAAAAACCAAAAAAAAAAAAAAAAAAAAAAAAAAAAAAAAAAAAAAAAAAAAAGGGGGCTGCTAGCCCCCACCCCCACCCCCACCCCCACCGCCACACACACGCATGCATATCTACTCCCAGATCCATCCTTTATCAAATAAACACACAACCCTATAGTTGAAATCTGGGGACAAGACAGCAAGCTGCTCCTGTCTTCACTGTGGCTGCAGTGAGGAGGAGGCCAGAAGGCCAGTATGGTGGTCCTTGTGGGGCCAGGGCCATAATTTTATGGTTGGGGTCACCACAACATGAGGGACTGTATTAAAGGGTCACAGCGTTAGCAAAGTTGACAGTCACTTGTCTAGAACCTGTAGTTTAAACCCAAGAATCAGGAATCACAGCCCTGGACTCAAAACCTTAGGGATCTATAGCTCAGAGTCTAGAGCCTGGACACCCACATCCAAACTGAAGAGCTCAGAGCATGGAACCCTTAAACCCAGAACCACAGAGTCCACAGCCAGGTTCCTCACATCCAGAGCCCTCCTGGAGCTCAGAACCTAGAACCTAGCAAGAACCCTAAAATGAGGCCTTCAATCCAGACATCAGACTCCAGACCCTGGCATACGAGGCCTAGAATCTGGAATCTGGAATGCGGAACTCCCACATCCAAGACCTAGAGCTTTTCAGAGGACCCAGAGGCCAGGATTCAAGCCCAGATCGCAGAGTAAGTTTACACGAGGCCACGAGGCCCTCCCTGCCTTATTTCCTTTCTCCTGTTAGCCCCAAACTTTGGAGCATCCATTCGGCAGGCATAGTCTCAGGTGCCGAGAGGCAGACCAAGAGGCAGCCAGCAAGTGAGTGTTTTCCCTCTGTGTACACTCAATGCCATCGCATTCTTGGGATAAGCGTTCCCCTAATGACTGTTGAATAGGTTGATGCTTCACGCATCCTTGCCTGTTGAACTTAGGGGCTACCTGTGAGAAAGGGTTATCGAACCAGTGTGAGAGAGAGACTGGTGGTCTGAGAGAGCTAAGGACCACAGGGACACAGCCCAAGTGAGCCCTAGGGGCTGCTGATGCCTGTTTATATTCCTCCCTCCATGCGAGGATCGGCCCCTCACACTCCCACCACTCTGTCATTACTTGGTAAACAATTAGGATTTTGTGGACAAAAGCAACCAGGCAGATCAGGAGCCACAAGCCTTGAGCAGGGTGACCACTGTCTTTAGGATCCCACAGGGCCAGGCCCCAGTGCAGCCAAGGTGGGGTGGGTCTTTGTTCCAACTGTTCGCACCCAGGTGGGGCTGGCCAGCCCAGGCCCTCCCTCCCTTCCTCTTCTGGGACACTTCCAAGCCTGGCTTCTTCCTCCCATTTTCCATGGTAGAAACCAAACCTCTTGTGTGACCTTTAGGGACCAGCTCTGTCCTTCCCAGTCTCTCTTGCCTCCGGGTGACCTTTGACCAGGAGAGGGAAGGGAATGAGTCTCATTGATCAATCCCAGAAGTGGACACAGCCCCAAGGAGAATGTTGAGAGGAATGCCTGTCATCCACCACAGTATAGGACAAACTTACCTGAGGCAGGAAAGATGATAGACATCGTGGAGCCATTCCCAAGGTGGGCGGGTCCTCAATGAGTTTATGAGGCAAAACAATTTGATTTTTTGTTTGTTTGTTTGAGACAAGTTTCTCTGTGTTGTTTTGGTGCCTGTCCTGGATCTCGCTTTGTAGACTAGGCTAGCCTTGAACTCACAGAGATCTGCCTGGCTCTGCCTCCCAGTGCTGGGATTAAAGGCATGCGCCACCGCCCAGCTTGATTTTTTTGAGACAATTGAGAAAAAAAAAAAAAATTCCAAACTTTGTCTGGAGAAACAGGCAAGTCAACAGAATCAATCCAAAGTTTAGGAAAAAACGGAATGTGTGTATGAGGAGGGGGTTGTATATGTACATGTGAGTGAAACACTGTCCAAGATTCCACTGCCATGATTGCTCAAACCTCTGCTTTTGCTGTGAGGATAAGCAGATGCCTGAGGACCCAGGTGAGCCTAAACACATGCTATGACTTACAAGGTAGTTTGTGGTACCGGTGGTACCCCAAATCTGTTAAAGAGGTTCTTGCCAACCAATGATGAGCTTTGGGCTGAAAATGACTCCTGAAACAAGAACTAGTTGGGAATAATTTGGGATGAGGAGATTCACATAAAAACACCCAGAGTGGCCCATTTCCACTGTCTCTTATGAAGGACAGCCGCTCTCAGAACGCCCAGGCCATCTGCAGTAGGTCCCTAGGTCCTATGTCTCCCTGGATCTTGGAGACATTGAGTCTTGACAATACCACACATATCATATATAATATATATGTTATATATATATATGTTATATATATATATATATATATTTTAAACATTGGATCTTTTTCTTGTGTTTCCAGTGCTGGGGGTGGAACTCTAGGCCTCATGTGTGCCAGGCAAGCCACACCCCAGCCCTAAAGATTTAATCTGGAGTCCAACTATTACAACCCACCCGGCTGGATCACCCAGTTTGGTTCCCTCACAGAGAAGCTGTCAGCAGGACCCTGGAAACAAGTAGAAAGGTTTTCTCCTACACCAGGGAGGGAAGCAGAATAAAGAAAGCGGGGCAGCACGTCCAAAGCAGTGCACGGATAGTCGCACTATATAGTTGTTCCAAGATATGAATATCCCGTCCTGTCCAAATACCTTTCACTTTGGACCCAGAGATTTTCAGGACAGTCTTGATAAACCTGAGAGCATGCATGCTCAAAAAAAAAAAAAGGGGGGGGGGGGAGGGATCCTAACTTTAGAGCCTGTCCTGGAACTCACTCTGTAGCCCAGGCTGGCCTGGAACTCACAGAGATCTGCCTGCCTCTGCCTCCCGAGTGCTGGGATTAAAGGTGTGTGCCACCACTGCCCAGTCAGAATTTTTTTAAAGAAAAAGTTTGAGGGTACTGGAGCCATGATGGTTCAGAAGCTGGGAGCACTTGAGGAGCACTTGCTACTGTTGCAAAGGCCTCAGGTTCGATTCCCAGCATCACAACATGGTGGCTCACAGCTGTCTGTAACTCCAGTTCCAGGAGGGCTGATGCCTCTAGCCTTCTCAGGCACTGTAATGTATGAACATATATGCGGGCAAACACTCACATGTATAAAATATTTTTGAAAAGTGGGGGGATGGTGAGAGTAGACACTCTGAAAGAAAGAAATCAGGGATTCAAGCAGGTGTCTGCACACCACATTCACAGCAGCATTTCACTATAGCTAAGAAGTGGCGGCTGCCCCAGGATCCATCAAAAGGTGAGACAGTAAGTTGAGGCTGTCCAAACAATGGTGGCCACTCAGCTTTCAGAAGTAAGGAAAAATAAGCCAGCCATAGGACAGTGTGGTGGCCCCAAAAGCCTGAGGTCTCCAGAGCCAAGAGTTCACGTAGAGACAGGGTAACATGGTGGGCGCCAGCAGCTGTGGGGGAGGGTAGTGCTGGAGGAGGGCAAGCTTTGGTTGGGGAAGACAGGAACGCTCTGAACGCTTTTTGTTGTGTTTTGTTTTGTTTTTTTTAAAGATGGGGTCTCACGTGGCCCAGGATGGCCTTGGAATTCCTGCTCCTCCTGTCTCTACTTTCTGAATGCTGGGTGTGCACACCACACCTGTCTGAGAAGTTCTGGACCTGGTTGGTATGGACAGCTTTGAGGCACTGTAAAAGAGCTTCCTGAACACCGAGCTGCAGTCACCATGACACCCACTTCCCTGCATGTTAACAAAAGGTAACATTTATGTGATGGGAATTTTCCTTCTATCTCCCAAATGTTCCATAGTGTGGCTAAACAACTTCAGTGACAGATCAATGTTCAAAATTAATTAATGTCTAAAATAAACAAGTTACTTAATAAAATTAAATAATGTCTAAAATAATGTCTGCAGGATGGGAGACAAGTTTGCAAAATACGTAAAGACCCAGAATACAAAATAAAAAATGACAGGGCCAGGTGTGGTGGCGCATGCCTTTAGTTCCAGCACTCGGGAGCAGAGGCAGACAAATCTCTGAGAGTTTGAGGCCAGCCTGGTCTACAGAGTGAGTTCCAGGGCAGCCAGGGCTACACAGAGAAACTGGTCTCAAGAATAAAGAATGAAGCCGGGCGGTGGT